GATGGTGCGGTGTGTTGGGGAGCAGTGATGGTGCGGTGTGTTGGGGAGCAGTGATGGTGTGACACTGTGAATTTACATGACCTCCTTTCTACCCTGTGGCACCAGGGGAACCTGCTTCTATCTATTGAGGAACAAGAGGAACTGATTGAATATCTGCGGTCTGTACTTACTATTTCCTGGGGCGTATTTTAGCAGAACTGAGTCAGGGACTTTTTTCTTTAAGAGCCAAGTTGTATTTTAAACTGCCGATGTATGCCTCCTATGAGTCCAATCAAACCCAGACTGATATCTATTCATTCCCGTGTAAAATTACAGAATTGCAGCACCTCACCGGCATCGCTCGCTAGCTTAGCTGGCTGGATGCTCATATCTTCATTCAAGTGGACTTGCCCCAGAGTGTCATGTGAGGAACAGTGAAAGATATTTCCTAATAGTAAGAAACAGTCCATTACACAACCCAGGAAACACCCTTGAGAATGTTAGTCACAGGAAACTACAAACAATTTGAGAAGTGAACCTAATTACTTTTCAATAGGCAGACATAGGTAGATTGCTGACCTTCATGGGGGTGAAGGATGGTTCAGGGATATGCAGGAATGTGGCTTTGGAAATGGGTGCTGTGTCACTGAAATGAGAATAAAGCTGGCCTCTTGCTGTGTGTCTCACTCGGGTTGCTCTGAGGATCTTGTCTGAAGCAAATGGTATAACCTTGGGATTGAGTGGATCCTGGGCTTCACTTCAGCTCAGAGCTCATTGACCAACTCACTGATGATCATTACCCACAGGATTTATAGAGCTGTAGGGCATTTACAGTGTTCACCCTGCTCAGTTACAAAGGGGTATCCAGCCCAGTGGGGTATTTATAGAGATTTACCCTTCTCTTTGGGGTATTGAAACAAAAAGGAGATATCTGACACACACCACAATATAAGCAGCAATGGAAATCAGGAAGAGTATCCCAAATGCAGGAGAGAAACTAAGGCTGGGATGAGGAAAGCTAAGAGAAAGCATGAGGGAAGGATGGCAGGCTGTGCTAAAACAAACAGTGAAATGTTCTTCATTAATTAATTTAATAGTCAAAGGTTAGTGAAGGATAGAGTGGGACAAGTAAGGAACAAACAGGGTGAGCTGCTCACTGAAGCAAAGGGTATGGCAGAGGGATTGAGGAAATACTTTACCTGTTTTCACCAAATCAGAAGATGATGACGATGGCCCAGTTGAAAAATGTGAGTGTTGAGCAACTGAGCAGTACAGTGATTGACAAAGAAGACGGGCGAAAGGGCTGGCAGCACGCCAGCTAGAGAAGTTACCAGGTCCAGATGGGATGCATCCCGGATTGCTGAGAGAGGTAAGGGAGCATATCATGGAGCCTTTGACAGAAATTTTCCAGGCCTCCCAGAACACAGGATTAATCCCGGAGGACTGGAGGATTGCAAATGTGACACTTGTTTAAGAATGGGCAAAGGAATATCCAGGAAACAACAGAGCTGTCGGGTTGACGTTAATAGTGAGTAAGGAGATTTACTGGAATGATTCCAGGAATGAGGGATTTTAGATTCAAGGAAAGATTGGAGAAATTGCGCTTATTCATTTTGGAGCAGAGAAGATTAAGAGGTGATCATACTGAGGTGCTTAAAATTATGGCCAATTTTGACAGAATAAAGAAGGATATTCTGTTTCCACTAGTTGGTATGTTAGTAACAAGTTCAAGATTATCAGTGAGAGAGCTAGCAGTGAGATGAGGAGAAACTTCTTTGCCCAGAGAGTTGTTAGGATTTGGAATGTGCTGCCTGGGAAAGTGGGGGAGGTGGATTCCATAGGAGGTTTCAAAGAGAATTGGATATATATTTGAAAGTGCTGAAGTTAGAGGGTTACAGAGGTTGGGCTGGAGAATGGGACTAGCTGGGATACTTTCAGGAGGCAATACAGACACAGACAGGGGCTCCTTCTGTACAGTACAATTCTATGATTCTCTAATTTACAGGCTTAACCCAGCCCAATGGGTCATTTACAGGGGTTTATCCAGCTCATAGGAGTATTTACAGGGCTTCACCTTGCACCCTGGGGTATTTACAGGGGTTCACCCTGCACCCTAGGGTATTTACCCTGTTCCCTGGGGTATTTACAGGGGTTTATCCAGATCCCTGGGGTATTTACAAGGGTTTACCCTAGTCCCTGGGGTATTTACAGTGTTTACCCTGGTTCCTGGGATTTTTACAGCGGTTTACCCTGTTCCCTGGGGTATTTACAGGGTTTACCCTGGTCCCTGGGGTATTTACTGGAATTCATCCTGGTCCCTGAAGTATTTACAGTGTTCATAATGGTCCTTGGGGTATTTACAGGGTTCACCCTGCTCCTTGGGGTATTTACAGGCGTTCACCCTGTACCCTGGAGTATTTACCCTGTTCCCTGGGGTATTTACAGGGATTTACCGTGTTCCCTGGGGTATTTACCCTGTTCCCTAGGGTATTTACAGGGGTTCACCCTGCACCCTGGAGTATTTACCCTGTTCCCTGGGGTATTTACAGGGGTTTACCCCATTCCCTGGGGTATTTACAAAGGTTTACCCTGTTCCCTGGGGTATTTACCCTGTTCCCTGGGGTATTTACAGGGGTTCACCCTGCACCCTGGGGTATTTACAGGGGTTTACCCTGTTCCCTGGGGTATTTTCAGGGGTTTACTCTAGTCCCTGGGGTATTTACAGGGTTCACCCTGCTCCCTGGGGTATTTACAGGGTTTACCCTGTTCCCTGGGGTACTTACAGGGATTTCCCTGGTCCCTGGAGTATTTACTGGAGTTCATCCTGGTCCCTGGAGTATTTACAGTGTTCATAATGGTCCCTGGGTTTTTTACAGGGATGTACAGAGATTTGTGTAGAATTTAACTATTAAACATTTCATTTCCAACAGGGAATGTCAAATCGATTTAAATTTCAGATTTTATTTTCCTGTGTACTCAAGTACAGAAGCACAGGAGTACAGTGAAAAGTGTCTAACGTTACCACACATGGCAAAGTCAGAATTCAGATGACACCAAGTTATAGTCTAACAGGGATAACGCAGTGTGGAGCTGGAGGAACACAGCAGGCCAGGCAGCGTCAGAGGAGCAGGAAAGCTGATTTCATTGAATCCGAAGGTTAATGGGGTGATACGTGAGGATATTGCAGTCCTTCCTGCAAGAATGCGATCCTAGATTCCCAATTCGTTCATCTCCGCCGCATCTGCTCCTGAGATGAGGCATTCCACTCCCGGACATCTCAGATGTCCTCGTTTTTCGAGGATTGCAAGCTCCCCCCCCACACAGTGGTCGAAAATGCCCTCGACTGCATCTCTTGCGTTTCCCGCACCTCAGCCCTCACACCCCCTCCCTGCAATAACAACAAAGGCAGAATCCCCCTTCCCCTCACGTATCACCCCATCAACCTCTGGATTCAACACATCATCCTCCACAACTTCCGCCACCTGTAATCTGACCCCACTACCGAGGATATACTTCCCTCCCCACCCTTATCTGCTTTCCGGAGGGACTGCTCTCTCCGTGACTCCCTTGTCCGCTCCACACTCCCCACTCCCCACTCCCCACTAGTTCCACCACCCCTGGCACCTTTCTGTGCAACCGCAGGAAGTGCTACACCTGCCCCTACACCTTCCCCCCTCACCCACATCCCAGGCTCCAAAAAAACCTTTCACATCAAACAGATGTTCACCTGCACATCCACTAACGTGGTATATTGTATCCGCTGTTCTCGATGTGGCCTCCTCTACACTGGGAAGACCAAGCGGAGGCTCGGAGACCGCTTTGTAGAGTGTCTGCGCTCTGTTTGCGACAAACAACAATACCATCCAGTCGCGAACCACTTCAACTCCCCCTCCCATTCCTTGGATGACATGTCCATCCTGGGCCTCCTCCAGTGTCACAATGATGCCACCCAGGAACTGGAAGAACAGCACCTCATATTCATCCTTTGAACCCTACAACTCAATGGTCACAATGTGGACATTACTAGCTTCAAAATCTCCCCACCCCCGACCTCATCCCAAGACCAGCCCCTCTAGTCCCCGCCTCCTTGACCTCTCTGTCTTCTCTCCCACCTATCCGCTCCTCCCACCTCACTGACCAACCCCCACCTCAACTCCCTACCTACGCTCACCTTTACTAGCTTCATTCCTGCCTCCTTGACCTGTCCGTCTTCCCTCCCACCTATCCGCCCCTCCCTCTTCACTGAACAACCCCCATCCCAACTCCTTACCTACACTCACTTTTACTAGCTTCAACCCTGCCTTCTTTACCTGTCTGTCTTCTCTTCACCTATCTGCTCCTTTATCCACCTTCTATCATCGCCTCCCCCTCTCTCTATTTATTTGAGCCCCCTTACCCTTCCCCATTTCTGAAGAAGGGTCCAGACCCGAAACGTTGACTTTCCTGCTCCTCTGATGCTGCCTGGCCTGTTGTGTTCATCCAGCTCCACACCTTGTTATCTCTGACTCCAGCATAGGCAGTTCCTACTATCCCTATAGTCTAATAGATTTGTTTGAAATCACAAGCTTTCAGAACCTCACCTCAGGAGCTGCAGCCTGAAAGCTTGTGATTTCAAATAAACCTGGTGTCATCTGAATTCTGACTTTGTCCACCCCAGTCCAACACCTGCACCTCCAATTCCATCTATAAGATTAACCAAAGACTCTCAGACAGCACCTTTCAAACCCACGACCACTTCCATCTAGAAGGACAAGGGCAGTAGATACATGGGAACACCACATCCTGCAAGTTCCCCTCCGAGCCTCTCACCGTCCTGCCTTGGAAATATATTACTGTTCCTTCCCTCAGGAAATATATCCTGGAAATATATCACCATTCCTTCAGTGTTGTGATGAGACCCTGTGACAAAATTCATGGGTGAGCCATCATTGATGGGAGAGCTGGAACAAAGTCCAGCAAAGAAACACCACAGTCTCTGGCCTCAGTGTTACTCCAGATGAGTAACTGCAGATGAGTAACTGCAGATGAGTAACTCCAGTTGAGTGGGCCTTTGCTGTCATCAAGGCTCCATTTCCTCAGCCTGTCAATTCGGGCAGAAGATAACCTCCCCTCCACCGATGCCAGGAATAAAACAACAGCCAAAGTGATGATAGGCTCTTTAGAGAGTGAGGCTGGGAAATAATAATGGGGAAGCAGGAAATGGCAGAGGAGTTGACTAAATACTGTGTACCAGTCGTTACAATGAAGACACTAAGAACCCTCCAAAATGATTAAATAATCAAAGTGTGAAAAGGGAGAGGTGAAATCAGGGCAGGGATTATACATTTCAATGGTAAGGTCCTGGGAATGTATTGCTAAACAAAGAGACCTTGACGTGCATGTTCATAATTCCTTGAAAGTAGTCACAGATAGACAGGGTGGTGAAGAAGGCATTTGATACTCTTGCCTTTGTGGGTCAGTGCATTTGACGATATGCATTGGGATGTAATGTAATGGCTGTACAGCACACTGGTTAGGCCACTTTTGGAATACTCCATACATTTCTGGTCTCCCTGCTATAGGAAGGGTGTCATGAAACTCGAAAGGGTTCAGAAAAGATTTACAAGGATGTTGCCAGGTTTGGAGGATGAGAGCCATAGGGAGAGGCTGAATAGGCTGGGGTTATTTCCCTTGGAGCGTCAGAGGCTGAGAGGTGACCTTATGAAGGTTTATAGAATCATGAGGGGCATGGATAGGGTGAATAGACAAGGTCTTTTCCCTAGGGTAGCAGGGTCCAAAACTAGAGGGGCGCAGGTTTAAGGTGAGAGGGGAAAGATTTAAAAGAGACCTAAGGGGCAACTTTTCACACAGACCCTGATGCATTTATAGAATGAGCTGCCAGAGGTAGTGGTGGAGGCTGGTACAATGACAACATTTAAAAGGCATCTGGATGGGCGTATGAATAGGAAGGATTTAGATGGATATAGGCCAAATGCTGGAAAACGGGACAAGTTTAAATTAGAACATCTGGTCAGCACAGACGAGTTGGACTGAAAGGTCTGTTTCTGTGCTGTACCACTCTATGACTATGACTCTTAAATGCAAAAACTATCACTGAACAAATGGTGCTAAGGACAGTAATCTGTCTAAAGACAGATAAAGTCCCTTGGACCTGATGGGATGCATCTTCGTATATTAAGTGAGACAGCTACAGAAACAGTGGACACACTGATAACAACCTTTGAGGAACCTTTGAGGTATCCTTTGATTCTGGATTGGAAACCGGTTGATGTCATACCATTACTTAAAAGGGGAAGAAGGAGAGAGAAAACAGATAACACTAGGTTAGTTAGTTTCATATCTGTTAGTGGGAAATTGAGTTCATTATAAAGAAAGTAATCAGTCTGGACATGGGAGATAAGGAAAGGTTGTCTTCCTGTGGGAGAGTCTGCGACCAGGCAGCATCATCACAGACTAAGGAATCACACATTTCAGACAGAGATGAAGAAGAATTTCTTCTCTCAGAGGGTAGTAAATATGTGCAATTCTTTACCATAGAACGCTATCGAAGCTGGGTTATTAAGCATATTTAAAGCTGAGAGTGATTTTTGATCAGTGAAGGGATTGAGGGTTATGGGAAAAGACAGGAAAAGTGGAGGTGAGAATGATTAGATCAGCCACAATCTCACTGATTAGCGGTGCAGATTCGATGGGCTGAATGGCTTGTTTCTGCTCCTGTATCTTATTGGCTATGCTCCTGACTCCTCTGTAATTACTTTCTTCACCAGTACTGTCCAATGTTTTTGTTCTTAAATGTTCCCTGTTCTTCTTTACATCTCCAATATGTTGATATCAAGCCCCCACCAATTTAGTTTAATCACTTCCTAACTACAATCACAAACATCCCCCTTGCCCTTGCCTCAGAACTGCTCTCAATGCTCCAAGATTCTCAAGCCCTTCTGAGCTGAGAGACCTTGGGTCATTCCCAGCTCTGCATTCCTTACCTTGGACTACCTGCCTTTCACTCATCCATTTTCTATCCCTTTTGAATTTACGAAGGTGACAGAAAAGGAGCTTCATTTTATAGATCAGCTCAGAATCATCAGCCATGACTCCTGCCTGTTGCAGTTGCAATCCTTTGACCCTGAACATGATTTCTCACTACAGACAGGAGTGAGTTTTTAACTTCTTTGAAGGGTGTTGCTTCTCTGACTGCTTCGTACATATTTTCAGCTTTTGACGTTTGTATCCGCCTGTTGAAATTGGTTTGATCAATTCTGAAGAAGGGTCTAGGCCTGAAACGTCAGCCTTCCTGCTCCTATGATGCTGCTTGGCCTGCTGTGTTCATCCAGCTCTGCACCTTGTTGTCTCAGATTTTCCAGCATCTGCAGTTCCTACTATTTCTGATACAGGAAATTCTTCACAGCTTCCAGTGCCATATCTTCATTGTCAACTGGAACCTGGTGTTTTTCATCACTTGTTTAATGATCAATACCTCACCCAAATATCTGTTACCTTAGTGTCTAACCATTGCTGAAAAGACAAAGGGCTGTCTCTCTCCCCTCACCTCTGGAATTCAGCTCTTTTGTCCATGTTTGAACCAAGGCTGTAATGAGGTCAGGAGCTGAGTGGCCCTGGCGGAACCCAAACTGGGCGTCGCTGAGCAGGTTATTGCTGAACAGGTGCTGCTTGATAGCACTGTTACTGACACCTTCCATCACTTTACTGATGATCGAGAGGAGACTGATGGGGCAGTAATTGGCCGGGTTAGATTTGTCCTGCTTTTTGTGTACAGGACATATCTGGGCAATTTTCCACATTACCAGGTAGATACCAGTGTTGTAACTGTACTGGAACAGCTTGGCCAGGGGAGCGGCAAGTTCTGGAGCGCAAGTCTTCAGTACTATTGCTGGAATGTTGCCAGGGCCCATAGCCTTTGCAGTGTCCAGTGTCTCCAACCATTTCTTGATATCACGTGGAGTGAATCGAATTGGTTGAAGACTTGTATCTGTAATGTTGGGGACCACTGGAGGAGGCTGAGATAGGTCATCCACTTGGCACTTCTGGCAGAAGATTGCTGCAAATGCATCAGCCTTGCCTTTTGCACTGAAGTGCTGGGCTTTTCCATCATTGAGGATGGGGATATTTGTGGAATCTCCTCCTCCAGTGAATTGTTTAATTGTCCACCACCATTCACAACTGGATGTGGCAGGACTGCAGAACTTAGATCTGATCCGTTGGTTGTGGGATCACTTAATTATCGCTTTCAACATCCTGGAGGTTACCATTGACCAGAAACTTAAGTGACTAGCTGTATAAACTCAATGGCTACAAGAGCAGGTCAGAAGCTGGGAATCCTGCAGTGAGTAACTCACTTCCTGACTCCCCGAAGCCTGTCCACCATCGACAAGGCACAGGTCAGGTGTGTGATGGAATACTCCCCGTTTGCCTGGATGGATCCAGCCCCAACAACACTCAAGAAGCTCAACACCATCCAGAACAAAGCAGCCGCTTGATTGGCACCACATCCACAAGTATCCACTCCCTCCACCACCAGCGCTCAGTAGCAGCAGTGTGTACTGTCTACAAAATGCACTGCAGAAATTCACCAAAGATTCTCAGACAGCACCTTCCAAACCCATGACCACTTCCATCTAGAAGGACAAGGGCAGCAGATATATGGGAACACCACCCCCTGCAAGTTCCCTTCCAAACCACTCACCATTCTGACTTGCAAATATATCACCGTTACTTCACTGTTGCTGGGCCAAATTCTTGGCATTCCCTCCCTAATAGCATTGTGGGTCAACCCACAGAATGTGAACCGCAGAGGTTTGAGAAGGCAGCTCAACACCACCTTTTCAAGGGCAACTAGGGACAGGCAATAAATGCTGACCCAGCCAGCAACACTCATGTCCCTTGTGAATAAAGAAACATTGTTGTGGTTCTGGAGAAACATATCGGTCAGACCAACACATTTCCTTCCTGAAATGACACAAGTGCTCCAGGTGGGGTTTTACAACAGCAACAAAACTTTCGTGGTCACCATTAGTCCTTTCACTTCAGACTTTTGTAGCTTCAAATTCTACTCTCTGGAATGGAGAGATTGAAACCCAGGTTCATGGGTGTCTGGATTATGTATCCAGTGATAATACCTTGCACCCCAACCCCCACCAACGCAACAGGATGTTAAAAAGCCAGGAACCCAGTGACAGAACAATGTGTTCGTGCGCAGTCCTTTAAAAGCCACATCAGTGGGCACAGTGCTGTCACACCCTGAACCTCACACACTCAGCAACACAGGATGCTTGATCTTGGGACGGAACATGGACATTAACTCCTTTTATCCCTCCATCCTCAGAGCAGCCTACGGGCTTGGGATTGAGAATTGATATTTCAAAGATCCCTTGAGAGTCTGTGAACATCATTCTTCCATTAATAGCTCCTTCCTCTTCCTGTAGTTGTGTAGAAACACACAATCATTGCGCCATAGTCACTGGCTCTGCTACATTTGTTCACGTGATTTGTCTTCTGTAAAGTGCAGCAGCTGGACTGACAGGACTGATACTCTGGAATGATGCGTAGAGTGTTCCCAGGAATGGTGCTGTCCCTCTGTGTCACCGTGGGTGAGTCTGGGCCTCAGTTTAGTGAGTGAACTGTGATGTGTTTGGTTCATTAACAAAGTGAACTTGCAGTTTCAGCCAGGACCGGGAGAGAGATATACAGCAGGAAATGGTCG